GATTCATGAATCTTTCCTTCGTAGTGAAACCATGGTCCTCACAGAGAGACAGAGCTATGGGACTCAGAAGACACTCGCTTGAAACTGGAAAGACCTGGTTTTTGCTGATCGCACAATATTTTTGTGTTAAGTGCAACTAAACACTCTTTGTAAGAATATGAATGAATAGGAAGAAGAATGAAGAGTGAAGGTATTTTATTTTTGTTTCTGTGTCTTTTACTTACATTGAAGAAATCACACGTAGGTGCCTGTAGATTTTGCCATTTTTCTAAAAGTATAAAAGTTAGAAAGTAGGGCGCCTGGGTGGCTCAGTCGGTTAAGTGACTGCCTTCGGCTCAGGTCATGATCCCCGCGTCCTGGGATCGAGCCCCGCATTGGGCTCCCTGCTCTGCGGGGAGCCTGCTTCTCCCTCTTCTACTCCCCCTGCTTGTGTTCCCTCTCTCGCTGTGTCTCTCTTTGTCAAATAAATAAATAATAAATCTTAAAAAAAAAAAAGTTAGAAAGTAAAACTTAAAGCCACAAATGTCACTTTTAAATGTCCATTGTCAAGAGAAGAGGATGCTATTTAGACAGTCTCCTCAACTATGAGATGCTTTATTTGTTTGTTGCTTGTTTACCAACCACAGCTAGGTAGAGGAACTGGGTTAATTCTGAAACCCTGCTTCCTTTCCTCTAAACCAATAGCTGTTGCAGGACACTGATGTGTTCTTTCCTTTGTAGGAAGTCACAAAACGAGAGAAGAAAAACAAAACAAAACAAAAAAAGCAAAACCAAGCCAGCACTATTTTTAGCTTTCCTCTGATTTGGATATAGCGACAGTCCTTAGTTTTTCCCCTGGCAACTCTCCTAACTTTTAAAGGAGTAAAATGAGGCAAAGGGGAGGAGCAGGGAATTGTGCCAAAGATCTTAAGGCAAGGTTATTGTCGTGAAGCTGGGCGGCAGGAATCCAGACGGCCAGAGGGCTTATCTGCTCTGCTCCAATGCAGGAAGGCTCCTCCCATTAGGAAGACTCAGGTGCCGCCTAAATCCGGTCCCTCCGAGACCAGGTATCAGTTTCCTTGGAGAAATAGTTTAAGCTTCTCAGCTTCAGACCTTCCTCTGAATATTCATATGGTGGTAATCGTGGTGCCCAACCCTTTGAGGGCAAGGGGTTGTTGCAATGGTAAGGATTTACAAACTAAGCTGAAAATAGCAAGGATGCTATTAAATAATAGCCGAAAATAAAAAAAAAATAGCAAAGACGATCTGTTTTTGCAAAATATCATTTAATACAGCTTAACAAGGCAGCGCCTGTTAGCTTAGATCTGCAGTTGGTGGACTATGGCTTATCGCCTCTTTTTCTACTGCCTGCAAGCAGAATGAAAAGAACAGTGTTCCATGACATATGAAAATTATATCAAATTCAATTTCAAATCTAATCAATTTTCAAAATTTGCAGAAATTTGTTCTCTCTTATGATGAAAGTACCTACATAATATTCTTGAATTTGGCTGTTGACCTGTAAAACGTAAAATATTTACTACCTGGCCCTTTACAGAATAAGTTTGAAGATCCCTGGTTTGGAAGAACGTGGGATCGAGTGTCAGGTAAATCTGGAATGAGCCCCGGGGCTGCCATTTACTAATTGTATGACCTTGAGCAAGATATTTAACTTTTCAAGGCTTAGTTTCCCTGTCTATAAAATGGGCATACGAATAATATTTATCTTGCCAAGTTAAAGGAGATAATGCATTTGATGTGCGTAACACAATGCCTATCACATGGTAAGGGATCCACACATAGTTATTGCTTTGCTACAAAGCTACTGAAACTAAACAAAATGGCAAAACTGAGGAAATTTTATTTTTTTTATTTTTTTAAAGATTTTTATTTATCTATTTGACAGAGAGATACATCGAGAGAGGGAACACAAGCAGGGGGAGTGGGAGAGGGAGAAGCAGGCTTCCCGCGGAGCAGGGAGCCCGACGCGGGGCTCGATCCCAGGACCCTGGGATGATGACCTGAGCCGAAGGCAGACGTTTAACGACTGCGCCACCCAGGTGCCCCAAAACTGAGGAAATTTTAAAGTTACCTTAGAAAATGCAATAGACTCTACAATATTAGGATTAGGATTTTTTTTTTACGTATTTTAAATGGCATTTGGGATTAAACAACAACAACAAAACCTCCCTCAAAATAGAATGGATAAAAGTGGTAAGTCCTAGGTTAAGATAGAAGTGAAAACAGTCACACATGTAGGGAGAGCTGAGGTTGCAAGTCATGTATCTGAATATATCAAAACCCTCCCCTCTTCAGACACATGGATACTAAATTTTGAAAAAAGTTAATAAAAGTCAGAAAAGAAAATGGCGGAACTCCACAGAATTCCTGGATAGATATATTGCTGAAGAGTCTTACAGAAACAGACAAAAGAAACTTATTAAGCTGCAATCTTTGTAGTCATGCCTATGTGTGGCTCAGCTGAGAAATCACCACAAATAGGTTCAGACTTAACTGCTCAGAAGGCCAGGGCTTGAAATGGCTGGAGGAAGACCTTGAAGGCAGTGCTTCCCTGCAAATTCACACTGGCAACCCCCCACTTTTAATGCACAGTGAAAACTTTAACACTTTTAAAAAATAGCAGCTCTGGGGGCGCCCGGGTGGCTCAATCGGTTAAGTGTCTGCCTTCAGCTCAGGTCATGATCTCAGGGTCCTGGGATTGAGCCCCATGTCGGGCTCTCTGCTCAGCAGGGAGTCTGCTTCTCCTTCTCCCTCTCTGTCTCTCTCAAATACATAAATAAATAAATCTTTAAAAAAAATAGCAGCTCTGTTGGAATAAAATTCATATACCATATTATACACCTATTTAAAGTATACGGGGGCACCTGGGTGGCTCAGTTGGCTGAGCGTCTGACTCTTGGTTTCAGCTCAGGTCATGATCTCATGGGTGGTGGGATGGAGCCCTGGGTGGGGCTCTGCACTCAGCAAGGAGTCTGCTTGAAGATTCTCTCCCTCTGCCCCTCCTCACCATGCTCTTTCTCTCTCTCAAATAAATAAATAAATCTTTAAAAAAATAAAGCATCCAATTCAGTGGTTTTTTGTATTTTCACACAGTTGTGCTACCATTACCACAATCGGTTTTAGAACATTGATTTAGAACATTGATGACACCCCCAAAAGGTACACATGAGCAGTCACTCCTCTCAGCCCCCAGTCCCTGGTAACAACTAATCTGCTTTCTGGTTCTATAAGATTTGCCTACTCTAGTACATTTCATGTAAATGGAATCATACAATATGTGGTGTTTTGTGAATGCCTTCTTTCACTTAGCATAATGCTTTTGAGGCTCAGCCATCTTATAGCAGGTATTTTATTCCTGTTTGTTGTGAGATAATTTTTCATTGTATGGATGTACCACATTTTGTTTATTCATCCATCAGGTGATGAACATTTGGAGTGCCTTTGTCTTTTGACTACTGTGGTGTGTAAAACTCTATTTGCTCTGACCAAGGCTATACACTGTTACAGCAATATTTGTCAGTCATCTTGACCGAGCTGGCCTTATTGGGCACAGGTTGCTCTTGGTGAGATAAGAGATGTTAGTATAACATTCTGTCAGAACCACGTAAGGGTATCTGCAAGAACGTGTCTGAGCAATGTGTAGGAGAAAGTGGTCAGGGCTGTAACAACTTCTGTTCAGGCAGTAATACAGTGCTGAGGGGTCACTGAATGCTGTCCATAGAGCAAAACCTGGAAATGATTGACAGAAAATGAATGAAGAAATTGCTGTATAGTCATATAACAGAATATAATAAAACACTACCTGTACCTCTGAAACAAAGAATACATTTTCTGTTAAAAAAAAAAAAAAGAAGATATTAGGAAGGGAAAAATGAAGGGGGGAAATTGGGGGAGGAGATGAACCATGAGAGACTATGGACTCTGAGAAACAAACTGAGGGTTCTAGAGGGGAAAGGGGTGGGGGGATGGGTTAGCCTGGTGATAGGTATTAAAGAGGGCACATATTGAATGGAGCACTGGGTGTTATACGCAAACAATGAATCATGGAACACTACATTAAAAACTAATGACGTAATGTATGGTGATTAACTAACATAATAAAATAAATTTTAAAAAAGAATATAATAAAACAGAAGAGTTGAAAATATAGATAACCCCAGGAGATTACATACTGTATGATACTCTTTTTATGTAAGTCAAAGACAAAATTAAACAATAAATTGTCTATGCACATATATATTTGATAACACCAAAAAGAAAGGAGGGAATGATCAGTCACCCGAAATCAATTCAGGGTAATTGTTACTATCTTAAGGGAGAGGCAGAGGCAGAAGGTTGGAACAGGGTACTGACTCCACATAGATAGGTATACTTATTGGTAATGTTCTTGGGCTAGGGATGAAGTCAAAGGAGTTCATTATAGACATAAATAGAAAGGAGGGCTACCCATGGATTAATGATGGGAGTGCCATGAACCAAAGAATATGATAAATGAACACAGGTTACCTGAGTCCAAATAAGAAATGAGAAAGAAAAATAAATGAGAGTAGTGCATGTACATTGTAAAAATTTGGATATACATGTAAAATATGCAGTTATAAAAAAGAAAAAAATTTCACTCGTTATTCCTTCAGGGAGAAAAAGTACAATTAATACAGTAATGTTTTAGCTTCCCATTCTTTCCCCTATGAATTAAAAAAAGTTTCTAATGACACTAAAAAATTGTCAGATTGATGAAGTCTGTTCTCTACGGGGGCTGTTTAGGTCAGGCTACCCACTCCTGGCTCCCACCACCCAGGTCTCAATAGGCAAACACAGTGACAGCATCGCGGCTGCAGCCTTAACAGCTCCGCCCAGCTCCGCTCAGGTTCGGAGAACACGCCCCGGGGGTGGGCCCAGCTCCTGTGGGGGCGTGGCTAAGAGACGAGGTCGTTCTCAGCCTCGGCCCAGGTAAGCCGGGCGGGACCGGGAGGCGCCACACGTCGCAGCGTGATGACGTCAAGAACGCGCCCGGCGTGGCGCTTTCGGCGTGCGCAGCTGCGTTTCGGCGTTTTGGTTCGGTCTCCCGAGCCGAGGGTGAGGCGTGCTGTGCCCTTGGCCGGCATGTTAGCGGCTATGGGTGCTGTGGATGAGGAAGAGGAGCCGGCGGAGGAGGACTGTCCTGAATTGGTCCCCATTGAGACGAAGCTAAGAGAGGAGGAGGAAAAGTCTGGGCCCGGCGCTAAGATCCCAGTCACAATTATCACCGGGTATTTAGGTAACTAACCATCCCGGTCAGAAAATGCCGTGAACGCTGGTATCCTGGGATTTGGGGGGCTGCCGGTGCCTCATCACCTTAGGCATCTGGGCCTTCTGGGCGACAGCACATGTCTCTGAGGTAGGGGCTGGGTCACGCGCTTCCCGCCTGGGTTGCTTTTCATCTCGGGGCTCAAGGATGCCCAGACCCCTTGGCGTTAGATTCTCATTTATCGAGGGAGACTGAAAGTTAACCTCGCATTTTGGAGCTGGTTTTGGCTTTGCGCCTGGAGGCTTGGACCCGCCCCCTAATTATCCCTGTGGCCTCTAACAAGTTACCTTACCTTTCTGAAGCTCGTGAGCCTTACTGGAAAGTGCAGGTAGTATCGGTCGCCTGTTTGAGTTTGTTTTCTTACCTGCTAAATGGGGCAGGAAACACCTACCTTTATGTCTGTTACCTTTAAAGGGTGCCCTGTCTGTGCCCGACCCGCAAGGGGCATTCTTTAGTAGCTTCCCCTTCCCCGCGAGCCAGCCTCTCCCAGCTATTCGGGGAGAGGACTCCTATCTCAAACCTTTTTTTGAGGTTTTTTTGCAAAGCACTCTAGGAGAAAGTAGGAATAAAATCCCTACCCTCCCAGACTATTTCTCAAGCCAAGGACGTTCAGGAATGCACATGGACACTTCAATTCATAGGTGTGTAAGCGTGCAATTTCCTGAAGGACAGTTTTCGGGCTTACACTAGAGGGACTTTCTTGGAAAAATCCGAGGAGGAGTATTTTAAGGCCTTAAATTTTACTAGAAGGGCTAGAATAGATACAGGACCATATTAAAAGTGTGGGGAAAATTAAATGTAAACAAAATGAAACGATTTGGGGTTAATGATACCATTCCTAGATGATGCCAGAGACGAGTACAAACTTGGTGCACGTGGGGGCCTTTTACATAAAAATAAGAATGAAATCTCTGGTGTTTTCTTTTTTAGCTTTGTAGTCTGAGTTTATTCTTTTTCCTCCGGACTGGTTTTATAAGGGAATTTATTTTTGTCGTGTCCCCATTCTCTGGCTTTTCTTTTTAAAATTTTCTCCAACCTCTGTCCATCCTTTTAAGTTGACACTCAGATAGTTTCTATTTTGATGTCCCACAGACATCTCGAACTCGGCAGGTCCAAAACCTCATATGTTACCTTACCCTCCAATCCTCCTGCTCCTGTGATTCCAACCACCTGGAATACTCAAAAGTTTTCTAACTAGTCTTGTGTCATGCTTCCCTTTAATATATTCTCTGTATTTTAGCCCTAATGATCTTTGTAAGTGTCAACTGTGTCACACCCTTCAGTGTTTCCATTTGGGTTGCAGTTCAAATTCCTAAACATGAATCAAAAGGTCCTATATGATCTGGCTCTTGACTGTCTTTCTAGCCTTCAAAACTGTGGTCCAGCCACATTGAATTACTTTTACGTTTAAAAGGTGCCAAGTAGGGGCCCTGGGTGGCTCAGTCGTTAAGCGGCTGCCTTCGGCTCAGGTCATGATCCCAGGGTCCTGGGATCGAGCCCCGCATCGGGCTCCCTGCTCGGCGGAAAGCCTGCTTCTCCCTCTCCCACTCCCCCTACTTGTGTTCCTCTCTCGCTGTGTCTCTCTGTCAAATAAATAAAATCTTTAAAAAAAAAAAAAAATTATAGGGGCGCCTGGGTGGCTCGTCGGTTAAGCGTCTGCCTTCGGCTCAGGTCATGATCCTGGGGTCCTGGGATCGAGCCCCGCATCAGGCTCCCTGCTCAGCGGGAGGCCTGCTTCTCCCTCTCCCACTCCCCCTACTTGTGTTCCTCTCTCGCTGTGTCTCTCTGTCAAATAAATAAAATCTTAAAAAAAAATTTTTTTTTAAAGGTGCCAAGTATTTTAGTCCCTAGAATACTTTTCCTTTTTGTTACTCCTCTGCCTAGACCTTTCTTTTTGGTGCTCCCTAACATCTTGTACATGTTCTGTCCACTCTGTAATCCTGTGACATCATTGCTTCTTTACGGTCTGAATTACCTTCCATCTCCCACTCTTAGTCTTTGTAAGCATTGTGAAAGTAGAGACAGTTTGTCTCTGTTTTGTGCACTTTTTGCTAAGGCCCAGCATGAAATCTGGCCCATAGTAGACTTTTGAACGAATAAACTGTGCCTTAAAGTCTTCTGCTTCATAATATGGTTAATTACTAAGTCCTAGTAATTTTATTAGAGGGTCTCTTACGTCCACCTCTGCCTTTCCATTTTCACTGCCACTGCCTAGTGCTGCCCTCCTGTTCAGGGTCTCTTTCTCACGCTTGGACTGGTTCTAAGAATTTCCTCATTGCCCTGCCTCCTTAAGCTCTGTCCCTTTCATTCTATACTTCACACTTTTGTGATGTTGAGCTTTTTAAAGCACTCTAAACACAAGCCTTTCATCCCTTCAACAGCCTTTAAAGGAATATGACCTAGAGGGATGCCTGGGTGGCTCAGTCGGTTAAGCGTCTGTCTTTGGCTCTGGTCATGAACCCAGGGTCCTGGGATCGAGTCCCACATCAGGCTCCCTGCTAGGCAGGGAGTCTGCTTCTCCCTCTGCCTGCAGCTCCCCCTGCTTTTGCCTCTCTCTTGCGCTCTCTGGCAAATAATAAAATCTTAAAAAAAAAAAAAAGGAATATGACCTAAAAATGTGGAAGATATTAATACCCTAATGATCATTAAATCTCTCCTAGTTAAAGGCTAGAAATCTCGTAAATGTACTTCAGAAGTTGTGTGCAAGCTTACATGTGAAAGGTCTTAGCAGCACTGTTTGGGAAAATAAAACACTGGAGATAACCCAAATGCCCACCAACAGAAAAGTAAATAAATGATACAGTTGAACTACACTAATGTGCAGTTTGTTTTTTTTCCTCTTTGAACTTTGGTGTGTATAGTTGTTCATAAGATAAATGCTTTTCTTCTACTTGAGCGGAACATACTAGGTTTAACCTGCCACCTACTGGATAAAGTTAGTGTAGCTTTATGAATTTATCTTTCTAAGTACTGAATGTTGTGTATATTGTTAACATTTTCTACATCCATTCTCCTATTTTGTGTGTGTGTTTTATAGATTGGTAGACAGATACGGTTGACACTTGAACAATGTGGGGGTTAGGGGTGCCACCTTCCTGCATAGTAACTTTGGACTCCCCCAAAACTCAACTACTAATAGCCTACTGTTGACCAGAAGCTTTACTGGTGGGACGTTGCCCCAGGCACAACCAGGAAAGGGTTAAGCGCGGCTGCTCCCGTTGGCCGGGCGCGACGGGGTGCACCCCAGCTCCTTTGAACTCGGGAGCCAAAACCAGTCCCTGGTTAAACTGGTCGGCAGAAGCTTTACTGGTGATATAGTCGATTAACACATATTTTGTATGTTACATGTATTACATACTGTATTCTTACAAAAAAGTAAGCTAGAGAAAAGAAAATGTTATGAAGAAAATCATAAGGGGGAGAAAATACAGTACTGTACTATATTTACAGAAAAAAGTCCACATATAAGTGGACCTGCGACCCACACAGTTGTTCGAGGGTCAACTGTATATATACTTATTTTCTTATAGGTTACTTTGAGTACGAAAATAGCCCTGTAGTCAGTTTGAATTTGTGTCTGGTTAATGATGGATGTTGAAATAAAAGGGCTTTATGTAAATTTTAGAGACGTAAACTGTGTATTCTTGGCTAAGAAACATTGTCATCATGTGAAAGTGTCTAAATATTTTAAAGTACATGAGTAATTTAAATAAAGTAAATAAAGTACATGAGTACTTTATTCCCTGGAAACCATTATTTCAATAATTCCTTAATAGAAAATCTAGATGTCTTTATATTAATTATAAATTGTATAGAAGGCATATTTTTGTTAAATGAGGGTGCAGCAAGCTGTGATCCATGTTGTAGGCATATTTGTAAATATTTATAAGATTTTATGTCAACATAAAGCTTTTTAATAGTTGCAAAGGATACTTTAATCTTTCCCTCTAGAATCTTCTATACCATAGTTAAAAATAATATTTTAAAAATAGCACACAAATTTTTAAAAACATTGGGACTCTTTTTTTGTGTGTGCCTTTAAAATTAGCCTTTGAATATTGTTATTTAAAACAAATATGTTTTATAGGTGCTGGGAAGACAACACTTCTGAACTATATTTTGACAGAGCAACATAGTAAAAGAGTAGCAGTTATTTTAAACGAATTTGGGGAAGGTAAGTAAAGTTCAGTGAATGCCATGCTGTAAGAATTTATAGGATAGCTTATTCCCCTGGTGAATTGATATTCCATATTTAAAAATGAAAATACAGGGTATTATGATGTGAACATATTGATGCGGATTGTTCTGGGAAAATTAATTTCTTTCAAGCTTTATTTTGTACAGATTTGAGATACTGAAATTACTAGTTTTCATAAAATTTTATATACATTTGAAATTCATAGCAACAGAATTAAATTAGGTTTTTACATGAAATAACTCCAGAAGTAAAAATCTAAACATATGAAAGAAAGTTCTTTCAGACTTTCTATGTACTTTTGTACTGACTATACTGTTCACTTGTAACTTTTGAAAAATTCTTTAAAATGCTTCAGTTTTTGTAAGTTTATCTTGTTGGATGTTTATTGTTTGCAAAGCATTTAAAACTGAAGATTTAAAAAATAAGTTAAATATATGGTTTCCATCTCAAGCATCTGCAGTTGTCTGTGGAAATACATGCATTTAAAATTCCAATTTTTTTTGTTTTTAATATTGAACTATGCTTAAAAAAAACCTGTACAGCAGTGTTACACACAATTCTTTGATTACTTTTAGAAGTTTTTCTTAAGTGTGAATTTTAACCACAGCTCACTTTTAGCCAAAAAATATGTCTTATGTTGAGCTATTTCTTATACTATTTTCTCAGTTGTAAATGAATAAAGGAGCTAGGTTTTATGAACAAGAAGGAAGACCTGTTAAACTTGATTTCTCATTTTAATAAACTAAAGTGAAAAGTCCTGTTAGAAAAAATTAAAATGCTAAGATTTTTAAAATCCTAATCTTGTACTCTAGCTTCTTATTAACTGATCTGTTGGACACTGTGATCACATTTATTATTAGTTGCTATTTTTCTTCATTCTTTCTGGATTGTTTATATAATTTATATAAACCATTTATTTGCAATACTTTCCTTTGCATTTTATTTATAACCTCATTTTATATATAACCCTGAATTCTGTAGCAGTCCCTTTTAGAGCTCTTTATCCTTGCCTAAGTGAAATATAAACAAAAAATATATACATGAAAAATTACTCCATTTTCTTTTGTGGCCATTTGCTTTACTGGATATTTAGAATACTCCCTTGGCTTTGGTATATTTCTTTATTGGAGGAAAAGTAAGTATGATAACAAGCATCTCAGAATTTCACATATATATTATTCTTTCTTAAGTTAGCATTGCTAGGAAACTTTAGTTTAAAAATTTAATTTTTAAATGAGCACACTGATACCCTGGCCAAGCAAACTTCCTCAAAATGAACTTGGGTTTTTACTCATACCGGGAATATTGAGTAGTCTGTCTAGTAGAAACAAAAACAATTTAGAAGAAGAATGAAACGAAAAAAATAGATAAGGCAGTCTTTTAAGAGGGTTAAGGGCATATAAAACCAATACATTAAACATACTAGTTGGCCATGGACAAAGAGTGCTTTTGAAATAGCTACTTTTATTAATGGGCAAGTGAGAGGGCCAAAGAAGTAGGTATGAGTCATTAATTTTGGATTTGCCTTTTTTTTTTTTTTTAAAGATTTTATTTATTTATTCATGAGAGACAGAGAGAGAGGCAGAGGGAGAAGCAGGCTCCCAAGGAGCAGGGAGCCCGATGTGGGACTCGATCCCAGGACGCTGGGATCATGACCTGAGCCGAAGGCAGACGCTTAACCATCTGAGCCACCCAGGCGCCCCTGGATTTGCCTTTTTAGGGACTTAAATCCTCTTTAAAAAATAAAAACTTAAATAATCTAGAGTAGTATAGTTTAGAACACTGAGGCTGCACAAACAGAATGAAAGAATAAAAGTTATAAAAGGTTTTTGTATAAAATGTTTTGAAATCTGTGTTGTTGATATCCTCATCTTTGTTTTTGGTTGGCTAGTGAACATAATCTTAAGAGTGCTTCTTGTTAATTATTTCAGGAAGTGCAGTGGAGAAATCCTTAGCTGTCAGCCAAGGTGGAGAGCTCTATGAAGAATGGCTGGAACTTAGAAACGGTTGCCTCTGCTGTTCAGTAAAGTGAGGAATGTGTTTATTGTGTGCTTGTTGGTTTATTATAAATGTTTATTGATTATATTTCCAGCTTTGATTTTCTAGTGTAATGTAACTAAATTCATACAGTCTGCTTCATTGTATTTTCACATAGAAAATAACTTACTAGAATGTATTTTCTTAGAGTGTTTCTTGCTGCCCTGTTTATTTTTCTGTCTGCTCTAATGCTTTGGTTCTTCTATTGAGTTTGTTTTTATTGTCTTTGATGTTAGGGTTTAATTAGTGATTTCTGTGGTACGTGAAAGTCACATTTCATGTGTAAAAATTACTATTTTACATTGAGTGAGTCATTGGTCTTATTTCCAAGGATTCACCTTCTAAAAACAAAAGTAAATGACCATCAAAAAGGTGAATAGGCTCACGCTGTGTTCCACCAGTGATAGTTGCTTCCAAGGACAGTGTCTGTTTTTTTCACTAATATACCATCGATCTTAGAAAAGGACCTGACATATCTATTCACTCAGATATTTGTTGAGTAAATTAGGAAAATTAATACCTGTACTGTTGACTTTGTATATTCTAGTGAATTAAATTTTTTCTACATCATTTACAACTTAAGTATTTGACTTTGAGTCAAATATATTAACAAAGCTAAAATCATGACATTTTCTTGAACAACCAAAATGAAATCCAGTATTTTCTTGCACTGTCTGGTACCCTTATTTAGAACAGATTGAAAAGTAATGATCGTGTCCCTTTAGATGTTATATTAAATCACTGTAATTCATAAATTTTATCATTGTTTTGGATGTTGAGTTTTTTCTTTCATTATGCTATAAAAATAGCAGCTTTTGACTTCAGTCAGGGTATTAAAGTTTCCTCTACTTTTAATTTTATTAAAGTATTAACTCCTCATGTAGCTGATTTATTTTGCTATCAGTATATATGCCTCTATTTTTCCCCACCATTGGTAAATATTGATGGATGTTGTGTTAGAAGTTTGGGAAGGAGTTAAATTTTCACATGCCTAAAGATATTTTTGTCTCAGGTTGCTAAATATATTTTAAAACATTTATAATGATCACTTTAAAATATTAAGGTAATAAACTGTATTTTATATTTTGGTATTCTACAGGGACAATGGCCTTAGAGCTATTGAGAATTTGATGCAGAAGAAGGGGAAATTTGATTACATACTCTTAGAGACCACTGGGTTAGCAGATCCGGGTAAGAGATGACATTATTAATAACCAGAATATAGTTCTTAAACATTTTTAAATGTATTAGAGAAATATGTAAAGTAAGCATTAAACCTGCACTCCAGACTAAATATTTTTTGTTGTTGCTTAAAACAGGAAAAATACTGGATTGTCATGTTTCTTCTGCAGATAAATCATAATCGGAGTACTTGATAATTTTAACTTGATAATAGGATTGAAATTCAATTGATCTATTTAAGATTATTGGTAGGAACACAAGTAGTTAAAGTATGGAAATTTAGGAAAAATAAAGACATTCTACTTATAAGTTCTACTCCTATATTTGATTGATTATAGTCTACAGAGATCTTATTTCTGATTACTTTCTAATCCAGGTTTCTTGGAGGGTCATTTAAAGATTCTTAAGGGCTTTTGGACTCTAATTTCAGTATTGCTTACTCTTTTTCAATTAATTGTTAGCATTAGCATTTTGTTTTTCTACTACTAAAGTTGAAATAGTTTTATTGGTAAATACTGTCATTAGGTACAGAGTTAAATTAAGCCTACTGGGCCTTTTCCTGGTGTGGAATTAATGATTATCCATGAAATTTTTATCTCTGAGTAGAATTACATTTAAACCTCTCTATTGAAAGCTACACAAAGTTGAAGTGTTTTAGCAATCGATTTCTGTTTCCTTCTTACCCAAATGTCTTTTAGGTTACACCTTTATTCTTAGTTTGCAGAACATTTAGTGTTCCTTCTGTAAGTCTGACCATACCTTTTTTTTTATTTGAGTTAATGGCATTGGGCCATAAAACTATATAAAAGACTATATAGAAGTACTGTTTAGTAATAATTTATTAGGGGTCATAACTGTTTAAAACAGATACTGAAGTATACTGAAGGTCCAAATGTAATCAGTGGTTATTGTGCTTCCAAATACTGCATAATAACATTGTCCTTCTGTTTTCAAATTAGTGTTGAGTTGGGCTGTTTTGGTCCTGTAGTAGACCATATTATGTACATTTTCATACATTTCCAATAGATTTGACTGATGATAGGACTCGGACTATTACACTGATATTAAATATTAAATCTGGTAGGATGGGAAAATATATGCCTCCTTTTTGAAATAGCAAATATCAGTTTCTTTCATGGTAGCCACTTTATAGAGAAAAACTCATAACTTTGAGAGTAGGTGAGTTTAGTAAAACATGGTTCAGCTTTTCAGAGGGAGAAGGAAAAGTTAAATAAAGATCTCAGAAAGCTTTTGTACAAATTGTAGGTATGAACAGGTTAATGTTTCTTCTAACTTTCTTTAGAATAATGATTTTATTGTTTGGGTAAAAATGGAACATTCATTAAAAAAAAATTTACCCAATATCTAAGAAAATGTGAAGAAGAAAGTTAAATCACACTGTATCTCACTACAATGAAATACAAGTAGGTAAATTTTATTTCAGGGATTTTTCTGTGCCAGTGCTACTTGCTGAATGACAGCATCAGTCTCTGAAGCTTGTGAAAAATGCAGATTCTTGGGCCCCATCCCAGATCTACTGAATCAGAATCTGTAAGGGTGTGAGCCCGGCAATCTGTTTTAATAAGCCCTCCAGGGGATTCTTACACATTCATAAATTTGGGAACCCCTGCTCTATGTGCATATGAAAGCTGTATAAACAGATAAATAATTTTACAAAAATGTGATTGCATTCTTTGTGCTATTCTTAGTAAGTATTAATTTAGTTTTACTTGAATCTACAAGAAGAGAACTTGGAGGCAGTTCAAGATGGCAGCTTAGGAACACCCTGAACTATCTCTTTTCATAGACACACCAGATCTGCAGCTACTTATGGAATAATTCCTGCTCAGAAAGAACTAAAAACAGGCTGAACAGCTCTGTCTACAATAAGGAATATAAGGGCTACACTGAAATGAATAGAGGAGGTGGAGATGTGGTTTTGCCAAAAACTTCACCCCGGTGCAGCAACTCATAGTAGGGAGGGATTTCACAGGTCTGGAGTCTTTACCTGAGGAGGGATGGGTTTATACCCCACTTTGGGTATGCCAACCCTTGGAACCTGCACTGGAGAGACGAGGCCCTCCCAAATGGGTTTGGAAACCAAAGGGGCTTGTGTACAGTGAACCTGGGGGGCTGTGGGGAATCTGAGGTACTCCTTTTGAGGGGCTCACAAACAAGCACACTCATTTTGGGACCCAGTGCAAAGGCAACAGTTTGAAAAGTGACTAAATTATATGTGAAGGAGATTGATTTGCTAATTCTAAAGTGTTTACTGGAGTAGCTGGGACCAGTTGGGACTTTCTTTGGGTCCAGAGGTGCTTGTGAGCACCATTTTTGCACTTTCCTTCCACTTTGCTAGTGCAGTCAGGCACTGTGGACACAGACAGCCTCCCTAAAGCCGTGGGTGTGCCCCCATCCCCAGACGTGTCCCTGCCTCACTAAAGCCTTGGGTGTATCCTGCCTACATTGTTCTCCTCCTGCATCCCTGAAGCCATGGATGTGCATCACCCTCAGTACTCTTTCAGCCTTGCTAAAACATGCCTTTGATTGCAGTCCACAGAAGGAATGTCTGTTGATCACCTGTCCCTGGTGGCCAGAGGAGCTTGAATTTCTATACCCTATGGGACTGTAATAGGAAGGTAGTTTGGGGAGGGCTGTCATACCCAAGGCACTGCATAGACAGCAAGCTGAAACACACTACTAGTCTAGTCTGCCTATGAAAAAGGCCCATCCACTTGTCCTGGAGCTTCAGCCTAAGGGACAGGCTTCAAAGGTGCTCTCAAAGTGTAGGTAGGGAGACACCATCTTTGATCTCTCCCTCAGCCTCAACAGAGCTTGCTGGTACCTCCAAAAAGTTTATGTGCTTGTCTGAAGCCTTGATTATTGTGGCTTGAGTTCAGGAGACACCTCCAGATCTCTTGGGCTGGAGATCAGCAGGGTTTATAGTTGTGGTGCCACAGGGCTATATATTTGTATACTCCAAAAGCTCCTTCCTGTGGATCTGTCTTCCAGTCAGTCTGAAACTAGGTGCTGAGATCACTCCCTTTGGAACACTGGCAGGTCTATTTTTTTTTTTTTTTTAAAGATTTTATTTATTTATTCATGAGAGAGAGAGACAGAGGGAGAAGCAGGCTCCCAAGGAGCAGGGAGCCCGATGCAGGACTCGATCCCAGGACTCTGGGATCATGACCTGAGCCGAAGGCAGACGCTTAATCATCTGAGCCACCCAGGCGCCCAACACTGGCAGGTCTTGACACACTCTCAACAACTGTGGGATCTATCAAGAATAATTTAGGCTAATTAGGTAATCACAGAGTTTCAGAGAGACAACCAAGAGCTAGGGCAAGGTTGAATAATAAGGCTTATCTCCTATACAAGGCCACTCCTTCAAGACTGGGAGAAGTAACTGTTTTGCTTAATAAATAGAAACCAAGAGTCAAGTAAAATGAGGAGACAGGAATATTTTCCAAACAAAAGGAGGAGACAAAATCTCAGAAAAAAGATCTTAATCAAGTGGAGATAACTAATCTACCTGGTAAAGAGTTCAAGGTAATGGTTATAAAGATGTTTACCAGAGTCAGAAGAATGTTTGAACACAGTAAGACTTCAACAAAGAGATAGGAAATATAAGGAAGTACCAAATGCAAGTCACAGAGCTGAAGAATACAGTAACTGAACCGAAAAATACACAAGAAGGGTTCAGCATCAGAATAAATGAAGAAGAATGGGTCAGTGACCTGGAAGACAGGGCAGTGGAACTCAGCCAAACAAAGCAACAACAACAAGAAAATTAATGAAGATAACTTAAGGAACCTCTGGGACAACGTCAAGTGGAGTAACATTCACATTATAGGGATCCCAGAAGGAAAAAAAGTGAAAGAGGCAGAAAACTTCCCTAACCCAGAGAGGGAAACAGACATCGAAGTCCCAGAAGCATAGAGAGTTCCAAATAAGATGAACTCAAAGACATCCAGATCAAGAGACATTATAATTACAATGTCAAAAATTAAAGAGAATCTTAAAAGCAGCAAGAGAAAAACAACTTGTTAAGTACAAGGGAATCCCCAAATCACTATCAGCTGATATTTCAGATGAAGCTTTGCAGGCCAGAAGGGAGTGGCATGATAGATTCGAAGTGCTGAAAGGAAAAAACTTCCAACCAAGAATATTCTACCTGCCACGGTTATCATTCAGAATTGGAGGAGAGTTTTCTAGACAAGCAAAAGTTAAAGGAGTTCACCACTAAACTGGCCTTATAAGAAATGTTAAAGGGACTTCTTTAAGCTGAAAAGGAAAGGTACTAGAAAACATGGGAAAGTAAAGATCTTACTCGTAAGGGCAAATATATAGTAAAGGTAGTGAATTAACCACTTATAAAGCTACTATGAAGGTTAAAAGACAAAAGTAGCGAACTTACGTATAGTTACAATAATTAAGAGATACACAAAGTAAGAAAATGTAAAAACAAAATGTGGAGAAGAGAGCAGAAATGTAGAGTTTTTATAATACATTCAAATTTAAGTTGCTATCAACTTGAAATAGGCTTTTATTTATATGTAAGTATATATATGTAAATATAAACAAATATATAAGTATAAACAAACAAGCATATGAATGTACAAACATAAGTATATAAACAAGTATATAAATATATATGTGTAAGCTGTGTGTGTGTGTATATATGTGTGTGTGTATATGTGTATATATATATGTGTGTGTGTGTATGTGTGTGTACATATAGGCTGCAAGGGAAGTGAGCAAGAGAAAAAAAGAATAGAGAGGAACTATAAAAACAGCCAGAAAATAATTAACAAAATGGCAAAAAGTACATACCTATCAATAATTACTTTAAATGTAAATAGATACAGTCAAAAGATGTATACAGTAGTTGAATAGATTTAAAAAAGTAGACTCATCTATATATTGCCTATGAGAGATTCCCTTTGGATCTAATGACGTGCAGACTGAAAGTGAAGGGGTGGAAAAAGATATTCCATGCAAATGTAAAT